GGCTGGCTTCTCTGCCTCCTGAGTAGCTAGGATTACAGGCATGAGCCACCAGTGCCTGGCTCCAGCTAACTTTTACAGCACACAGTCCTATCATCTAGTTGGTTCTAGACCTTGAACCACAAATAAGATGAAGCTCTGTTCCCGGACCCACAAGCACTCTCATGGGTCTGTAAAGAACTCCCTTGTCTCCCGTGCTCCCAGCCCACCCTTCGACAGCTCCTTTTCTCCCCTTGACTTTAATCTGATTTTACCTGTAGAAAAATGTTACTAGGAGAATGACTTGCCATCTCCCTGCCACCCTGTAAGAGTGACAGATCTGCAGTTAGAGCTCCTATACACACACACACACGCACACGCACACAAATACACACTTTATCCTGGTAATCATACTCACTCTGCTGCTCTAGAGGGGGGGTAACAATCCCCCAACCAAGCAGGTGGACCTCTTCCTCCTCCTCAGCCCTTCCTTGGGAGTGCCCTTGGCCTCTGGGAGGCTCCAGCACGGGAACTCTATGGTGACAACTGGCCCTTGCAGCCCTGGAGACTGAGCACAGTGGGAACTGTTCAGTTGGAGGTAAACAGAGTTTGGTGGGGCGAGAGGGGTACAGACCAAGAATTTGTGTGTCCTGGGTGTTGTCCAACCGTGAGAATGAATGGCAGGTGCAGCCTCGGGGGACGTGGTGGCTAATGCCAGAGTGTGCTTTCTGGGAATGAGAACACCCGCTGAGGGAATGGCAGCCGAAGCCACTGGCCAGGGCACTGCCGGGATTTTCATGCCTCTCTCCTGCTTATCAGCTTCAGTGGCCACTGCTCTCAGCGCGTGGCACACGTGTGTGCGTGTGTGCCTATGCGTATGCCGGTGCGTATGTGACTAGTGGGGTGTGGGGACGCAGCAGGGCTGTCTCTGTTGTCTACTCTCTCTTGCAGCACACAGCCTCGCCCCTCACACCCTCTGTAGCTTGACCTGTTGAGTGGGAACGAAGGCCATTTTCCCATCTTCCCAAGACAGTGCTATCTGCTTGCTCAGTGCCCCAGACCCTGACCCTTCTGGAGCACCTGTAGGCCCTTCAAGGCCTGGGATTCTGCATTTGCTTCCCAGAAGGACCAAAAACGGAGGTGACCCAGAGTCAGTTCCTGTCCCGGTGCTCCTCCTTCTTGGAGCAGCTGGGTGCCTACTGCTGGGCTCCCCCCGATTCAGTGAAGCGTGTCTTCCTCATGCTAACAGGAGCTGTGTCCTGTGTCCCTGTCACTCAGCATTCAAGGCTGGTGCAGCCCTCCCCCACCCTGAGCTCTGTGTCCAGGTATTTTACTGACAGGGGTCAGCAGTTTTGCACAGGTTTAGAACAGGGCCATCTGACCGTACCTCTGGGCCAAATCCAGCCCACTGTCTATTTTCTTAAATAAAGTTTTATTGGAACATAGCACATCCATTTATTTATTCATTGTTTGGAAAACCTAAAATATTTAATATCTGGGCATTCACAGAACAAGTTTGCTGACCCCCCGGGTTGAGAGATCTTAACCTTGATCTGCTGTAGCCCAGCATTCCATGCACTTGGGTCATGGTCACAAGGCAGCATCCATCTGTTGGGCCAGTTGTGATGACCAGGAAGACTGGTCAATAGTGATCTTTGTTCAGTGAATGAGCATATTCTGGAATGTGAAAACAAAAATAAAATGCCAGTTGTGCCAGGCCCTCTCTGGAACATTGTTTCCACTTGATTTTAGATAAGTGTGTGACACACAGGTGACACCCTTGTTACAGATGAGCAGGAGGAAGCTTGGAAAAGCTAAGGGTGGATCTTAGTCAGTACCAAAGCCACTATTGTGCGTGGGTTTGGGAGCCCAGGGGATATGCTCTGCCAGGCTGCAGTCCCAGGGAAGGTGGTAAATCAAGCTCCCTCCCGGGGAGCTTACAGAAAGGGTACATCTGTGTTGTCACATTTAAAAATGAATGGAAGGAGGAGGGTGACCGGATGGCTTCTGTATCCTTGCACAGATAGAGGTGTTTAGGGGTAAACAGCAGGAAGGTAACAAGACTGGACACAGGGTGAGAGAAGACGAGTCAAGAGTGGTTGAAGGGTCACCATAGCAATTGGCCACATAGAAGTTGACTCAGACATCAGGTATGGCAGAGTAGGTAACCCAGGTCCCCTAGCATTCTTGGGGAGTCACCACCAGATGCCCTGGGCACCTTTACCTGCCTCCTCCCCACATATCTTCCTTCCCATGGATGTCCACTACTCCCAGCCATGTGGTCCAGGCCCAGGGCCCTCCCTTTCTGACAGCCCAGGGAGGGAAGCAGCTCAGCTCAGGGTGGGTGTTAATGGACTCACTGGGCCTCAGGCAGTGGTGGCATCTAAGAGCTAGAGGGGCTTGTGGAGCTGCCTCGGACAGACAGATGTTTCATGATGAGGTAGCTGTCTTTTCTTTGATTCTTTTTTTTTTTTAATTGTTATGCTGAGTGGAGGTGTGACTGTCTTTTCTGATCACTCTTTCTGAGGCTACTGTGAGCTGTCTCCCATCCGTCATACCATGCCTACTGTGACTGTCGCAAGGCTGTGTCTTTGGTAGAGATAAATGTTTGGGCTGGTAGTCTAGCTCAGGGGTTGGCAGACTATGGACTGGCCTGTTCTTTTAAATAAAGTTTTATTGAAACATGGCCATGTTCATTGATTTGTACCCTCCATGGATGAATCTGTGCTACAAGAAGAAACTGAGTAGTTGCACAGGGACGGTCTAGCACATAAAGCCCAAGGTGTTTAGTATCCAGCCTTTTACAGAGAAAGTTTGCTAGAGTCTGGTCTACCTGAAATGGGCTTTCTGTGTGTCCAGACCCAGGTGTATTGGACTTTGATCTTCCTACCTTCTTCCCTCCCTCTTTCCCTCTCTCTTTCTCTCCCTCACCCCTCATCACCCCTCTCTACGTTCACTCCTCTCTTTCCTCTCAACCTCCCTGTGATGGTCCTTCTCCACTACCCCCTCCCTCCGCTTCCTCTCCCATCTGCCTTGCCTGCCCCCAGCCTCCTACCTGGTCCTGTGGGGGTGAGGGGGATTATCTCCCATGCCAGTGAAATCTGCAAGAGAGGTCCTTCCTATTGCCATGATGGTGCTAGCAGAGGCTATGGGCCACTTTACTGCAGGAATCAGTGAAATGAACTTTCTAAGGATGTCAGTTTCCTCCTCTCCCCTCCTCCTAGGGAGCTGGTGTCCATCCCCACAGGGTCCTACAGAACCAAAGGTGTTAGGTCACTGGGCACTAAGTAAGAGGGGTCATCCAGCCAGAGAGATGGGGTGCTGTTCCTGGGTTGTTCAGCACAACTCTGACTTTGAGAGCCACCTTGAGTAGCTTCCCCCAGCTCCAGAAGATGCTCAGGGAGGTTGGGGAGCACTGGAGGAGGGCTGTTCAGTGAAGGCTGCTGCTGAGTTCAGTCAGTCTCTACCTTTAGCATGCCAGTTCCATCCCAAACCCAGGATCTCTGCAGATTAAGAGCTTGAAATTGGGATGGTCCTTCGAGGTCCTGGATGTGAGGTCACTGTACTTTCTGGAACCAGGGCAACCTCCCAGGTGTATAGGGACATCTCAGCTCTGTGCTAGCTTTGTCCACATTGGACACAGGAGTCCTACTCTTGACTCTGAAGAGATGTCCATGTCTCTGGGATGGAGGGGACCCTCTGTATCACTCCAGGAAGGGGAAGACAAAAAGCACGACCTGCCCATGGGATGAGGGCATCAGGCCCCAAGTTCTGCCAGACCATTCTGCCAGGAGTGAGCCTCCAGAGGCCTAGGACATCACCTTATGGGGTCTCTTCCAAGCCAAGAAGGATGCAGCTCATCCCACTGTAGCTCCTGCCTCCCTCCAAACCCTACAGTACCTACACTGAACAGGAGGTCAGTGCTTTTTGTCCCTGTGTCTGGCAGCCTGCAGCTCCCTGATACTGCATTCCTTCATATTCTCTTTGTCTGCTTTACTTAGGCACTTTAGTGCTTCTTGGGACAAGTGACCCAGCATGGCTGTATGCTCGGCAGCCAATACTCAGTGACCTCTAATTTGTTTTGTTAGATTGTTTAACCAGGAAACTGTCTTCCCCCTTGTCCTGTTGATACTAGGAACCTGTCCCCAGATTGGGCAGCCAAGAGAACCTTCTGGTGATGCCAGAGAGTGATGAGGCTCTATGGAGTCAGGCCCCCTTCCCAGCAGGCTGTTGAAACCCAAAGGATGAAATGTTGGCTTCTGGCTTAAGGTTGTGGGCAGGTAGAAAAGAGGCAGTCAATCATCCAAGTGTTGGCCCAGAATTACCTGGGATTGGGGGATAAGCCCCTTAGCCCATGACCATCTGAACAGGGCCTGCCCAGTCCAGTCCCCAACCTACTTGAGGAGTTGCTGTAACCTCAGAGCTGTGGAGCAGAGTCTCCTGGGGCTCTTCTGGCCGAGTGTACACACAGACCTCCAAGTTGAGCTCCCATCCACAGCCAGGTCCCCTCGCTGGGATTACTTGATGTCACACCTGTCAGAGGTGGCTGTGCTGGAAAAGACAGGAGGCCTGGGATTTAGCATCTTCACTCCATCTGCTGCTACTTGGGACTCTGTCTTCTCCACAGCAAGACCAGGCCAGTCCACTTCCCTTCATTCTGACCAAGAGGCTGCCCACTGCATTGTGGTCAACTCCAGGTTCTGTGCCACCTTGGCCCTCTGCCCTGTGAAACCCTGCCTAGGTACCTGGCATGCATCCGCTATGTGTTTCAGACCGACACAACACCTTGAGAGTGACGCCTGGCGCACAAGCCCATGTCTCCACTCATGGGGTAGACAGGCCCTTCCCTTTGTGACAGTGTAGCCACAAGGGCACAGGAGCATTTCATTCTGTGCCAAGCTCTGGGCTGTCCCACATAGGCTGCTGGGGAGTGTTGGTGTGGGAAGCCTGCGCTCCTAGTTACCCTTCCCCCTGGTCCTATGCCCCTGCTCACACGGCCTCCTGTGTCTCTTTCCATCCATTAGGCAAAACCGAGAGCTCCACACCGTGAGAAGGTCTCCTAGCAACCTTCCTTAGGAATTCTGTCTGGCCCTGATTGGAAAACTGGCGCCAACGCCCTGAGGTTGATGAGTTTGCCTTGGGAGTTGGTGAGAAGGTAAAAACAAAGGCAAACATGGGTCAGAAGGTCACCGGAGGGATCAAGACTGTGGACATGCGGGACCCCACATACCGGCCCCTGAAGCACGAGCTCCAGGGGCTGGATTACTGCAAGCCCACCCGGCTGGACCTACTGCTGGACATGCCCCCCGTGTCCTACGACGTCCAGCTGCTCCACTCCTGGAACAACAACGACCGCTCGCTCAATGTCTTCGTGAAGGAGGACGACAAGCTGATCTTTCACCGGCATCCGGTGGCCCAGAGCACAGACGCTATCAGGGGCAAAGTCGGGTACACGCGAGGGCTGCATGTGTGGCAGATCACGTGGGCCATGCGGCAGCGAGGCACGCATGCTGTGGTGGGCGTGGCCACGGCAGATGCTCCCCTACACTCTGTTGGGTACACGACCCTCGTGGGGAATAACCACGAGTCCTGGGGCTGGGACTTGGGACGCAACCGGCTCTATCATGATGGGAAAAACCAGCCAAGCAAAACGTACCCGGCCTTTCTGGAGCCGGACGAGACTTTCATTGTCCCCGACTCCTTCCTCGTTGCCCTGGACATGGATGATGGGACTCTGAGCTTCATTGTGGATGGACAATACATGGGAGTGGCTTTTCGGGGACTCAAGGGCAAAAAACTATATCCTGTAGTGAGCGCTGTCTGGGGCCACTGCGAGATCCGTATGCGCTACTTGAATGGACTCGATCGTAAGTGTTCCCCACATCCCTGCGGTCCTGGCTGGGCTTGGGCCAAGAGTTTATGCAGTTGTTGGACTTAAAATGGCTTTAAGTAGATATGCCAATGTGTTCAGACCCTCGGAGGCCGCTCTTGCCTGCATCTGGTTAAACGAGGAATTCGAGCCAAAGTCTGCTGGGTTATCTGGCAGTGCCATGAATGAATGGCTAGGAGATGGATGAGTAGGTGGATGGGTGGATGGACGGATAGAGGGATGGATGATAGATGAATGGACGTATAAATGGGCCATGGAGGAATGAGGAGATGGATGAATGGATGAACAGTCTTTGTCTGTCTCTGATCCATTTGCACTTTGACCAAATTCTAGCATAGTAGCCAGTGTATTGTTGAGTTGAGCTTTGCAGCCTTTGGAATACTAGGGCCTTTCAGATAAATGAAAACCAGTGACCTCACCCACTCAAGTGACAGGTTTGGGGTATTTCTCTCAATTTCTGCTTGTTCCTTTGGAAAGGGGGGTGTCCTGACTCAGACTCTGTGTGGAAATAGCTCATGTGCAGTGGCACAGTGCTGGCAGGAGCTGCAGCTTTGTGGCTGCCCAACTGGAAGCCTATGCTAGCAGGAGGTCCTATGTTCCAGAATCATCCACCCCCATGCTTGGCCCTCACTCTGGGAGCTCACTGCCTGTGTGGGTCCCTTGTACCTCCTACAAATAATCTTAGGAAGACGGTGGGCCAGAAACCTCCATCCATTCATGTACTGACCGTTTTTAGGGCAGGTTTGGCCTGGTACCCCAAGTTCTAACCCTGTTCTGTGGGCTAGGCTACTGGTAGGCGAGGTGAGGGAGGCTACCACTGGGGTCAGGAGAACAGGCCCTGAGTGTCTCACATTCTCCAAACCTGCAGGCTCTTCCATCCCCCTCTCTTCTCATGTCAGTTTTTGGAAGCTACTGGAACATCCAGGGCAGTCAGGCATGAGGGAACCTTTCTGTTTGGAAGCCTCCTCCCCCATCCCTCTCTCTCTCCATCCTCCACTCAGGCTTTGCCTAGAGGGTAACAGTGAACCAGCAGCCAGGTGAGGTATATGCAGTGCAGAATCCCCCAGGCTGCTTTTTCCTCCCCTGTACAGCCAGCACCCCAAGGGCATGGTGCTTCTGGCAGGGGAAGCCAGGTATTTACCCAGCAGGTAACCTCCCTGAGGAAGTCATCTCAGACCTGGACTAGAGAACCAGCAGAGCAAGTTCTGTGAGTCCATCTCCCCAGGTGAAAGAAATAAGTGGCACAAATCCATAATCAAATGTATCCCAAGCAGGGACGGGTAGGATTGGGAGCCCAGAACTTGGTCCTTGCCTCCCTCTTCCTGGCAGCGGGTTGGTCAGTGAGCCAGAGAGGTTACTGTCTCTCGCGTGCAGACAGACAATGAGGGGATTGCTAGGCCTGCTGCCCTTGGCTGCCGTGGAGACGGTTGGTCTCCAGGAGAGTGGCCCAGCCTTGTCCCTTGGGGAATAAGGCTGCTGATACCATCGTGAGCTTTGTGAGTCTGTATGACTTCCCTGTCTGTGTGTCCTGGCTGCAATACAGAGCACAGACCCTGAGTAGCTGGGAGGGGCTGGAGTCTGTTTGCTCTTGGTGAGCCAAGCAGCTCAAATAGAGGTTCTGCAGATGCCATCTCAGAGGTCCACACTTGTGCTGTACAGATAGGTGATGCTCTCCTCAGTGCTGCATCCAGTGGAAGGTTAGATGGATTTATAATTGTTCTTACTCGGAAATCCTAAAGGGGTTGGTGGGCAGGGTGCAAATGGGAATAAGTTGTTGGCAACTGTTATCTGTAAACTGGAATTGGGACAGAGACTCAAAGTGTCACATCAGGACACTTGGTCAGTGGCGAGACCACCTTCCTTCTCCACCAGAATCAAATGCCAGGCAGTGCCAGGGTCTTCGGCTTCTCATCTTCCCCAGTCCTGATCAGATATGGTTGACTTTGGAGGATGTGGATGGCAACATAGATGGCCAGTTCCTGGGATGCTGAGCGGCACCTCTCAGGGTGGGTGCTGTCATCAGCCCCACTGCAGTCATAGGGCAGGATGAGATGGAATGTGTAAGAGCCGCCAGTCATGATCTGCCTGCACTGACCTTGGTGCCTTTATCAAGGGGCATAGCCCATGTCTTAGAAGGATCTCTTGACTAATGGTAGGGCAAGAATGGCCACCATGACATTTGTTCAGGTGAGAGATGACAGACTTGGGCCAGGGTGAGAACTGTGGAGGTAGAAGGCACATATCTGTGAGATGAGAAAGGGAAGGGTCAGGGTGACTCCAAGTGGCCTGAGCAAGTGGAAGGATAGGGCTGCTGTCTGGTGAAATGGAAAAGCTAGAGAAAGGAGCAGTTCAAAGGGTAGAAGTTAATTGGAGATGCTTATTTGAGCTGAATCTGGATGTCATCCATGTCCGGATGACGTTTAAAGATGTGACCATTGAACTGGGGATGTAGCTCAGGGGTAGAGCACTTGCCTAGCATGTGCAAAGCCTTGGGTTCCACCTAGCACTGCTATATCTGTCATCTATCTATCTATCTATCTATCTGTCTGTCTATCTATCTATCTATCTATCTATCTATCTATCTATCTATAATGATAATAAAATATGAAGCTGCCACCCTGATGAGATCACCAGAGTGAGGGGAGAGCCAGGCTAGAAGGCTAAGGCCAAGCCTATTAGAGGCTGGGAGGCCCAGGAGGAGGTGTGACTGGAGGGGACCCAGAAGACTTGTATCTGAGATGCCAAATGAAGAAAGAGCTTTGAAAAAGGCAAAGTAATGACAGCTGCTGTGGCAACAAAGAAGTTATTAGTAATCTTGCCAGGAGCCATTCTGGTGGAGTGGGGTCAATTCTGATGGAGGAAGAGGAAGGATGGTATTTGTTTCATAATAAATCACCACAAACCAAGCCATTTAAAACAACAGAATTGTATTCTGTCACAGTTCAGGAGGTCAGATGTCCCAAATCAGGGTTGGCCCTCGCTGAAGCTCTGAGAGCGCCTGCTCCTGCCTCTGCTGCTGCAGCCCCTGGCGATCCTTGGCTTGCAACTGTGCTACTCTCCCTTCCTCTCCGCACCTGGCCTCCTCCCTGGGCAAGTCTCTTTCCTCCCAAAATTCTCTCCCAGGCACCCCACCCCATGTTGACTTCTTCCTGCTCCTGCATTCCAGCAGGGCTCTGGGGAGACTGGTTACCCTACCCTGCTAAAACTTCCTTCCATGGGTGACGGGCCATGTGGGGGAGGGGTTGTTCTATACCCTCTCCCCCAGAAAGGCTGGTCCTTTGAGGACTATAGGTTCTGAGTTGGAGGACAGGGACCAAGGATGCCTACCACCTGGATGGATTTCAGACATCCTTCCCTGGGTGACAAGGACAAGGAGCTGATGTTTTGTGACTCAGCTTTGTTTTTTAAGAACTATTTAATCTAAAGGAGAAAACACATACATTCTGCAATGGCTACCCCTACCTACAATGTTCTAGAACCCATTCAATGAGCATTTTTGCTGCCAGCTGCTTGCTTGAGTGAGCACCAGGCCAGTCACAGGATCTGTGAGGGAGAGCAGTGTGACCATCATTGAATCAGAGGCACTACCTGATGTGACATTTTTCCTTGACCTCACAGACCTGCCATTCATTCCTTTAGCCTGTGTACCAGGCATAGCATTGCCTTTTATTTATTTATTTGGCCTTACTGGGGTTTGAACTCAGGACTTCACACTTGCTAGGCAGGTGCTCTACTGCACACCCCCACACCCCCAGCCAATGCTGCATTCGGTTGGGTCGAAACTTTTCAGAGAACCACAGGAGTTGTGGGTTGAGGCTCTGGGGCCATGGAGGTCTAAACTGGCCAGGGTTGTTTCTCATAGAAATGCAGAAATTGGCACATGGGCTCGTCCAAGTCCTCAACCTTCTGCTGCCTCAAATAGCATCTGATGTACTCCCTGATTTCTTTGCTGCTCATCCAGCATATCCATCTTCTTTTTCATTCATTATTCATTACTTAAATGAATAGGTGCCTGGATACCTGGGGATTGGCACAGTGGCTAGACCCCCCACAACAGGTGCCCACCAGCACAGTGGTATTTCTGAGTGCACCTGGGCTCAATACAAATCCTATAGCCTTCAGTCAGAACTACGAAGCAGGATGAGATCTTCTTGGGTCCTGGTAGTGACCAACTGCAATTGCCAGGATGGACAGTTTGCCAAGGCATATGCCTCTATGGCAGGCCTTTCCTGGTCTCAGCCCAGCCTTAAGAGAGTCAGACTACAGCAATGTGCAACATTGTTTTGCCGCGCACAAGATCTGGGAGGTGTGACCTGTTTGTGTACTTAAGGCCTCAGAAGACAGACCTGTCCACAGGGTTCCTGGTAACTCTTGTCATATTTTCAGCTCATGATGCATTACTGTAGCCCTTAACTGCCCCTCAGTAGCCAGTCCTAGAAGGTTCCATGGCCTGTGCTAGTGCCACAGAAACTTCCTCCTATGCAGCTGCCTTCAGCAGGGGTGGGATGAAGTGGGTACAAGGCCTCACCCCTTCAGAGCTCTTGGCCCTCAGACCTTAGGCCCCCAAATTCCCTTTCCCTATTCATAGTTTGGGGACCAAACTCCCTCCCCCCCAGCTGCTAAAGCAGATGGAGCTAGGGGCTGGTTCAGAACTCTTGCTTGGGAACCTTCTTCACAGGGTATTCCTGGGGTGGCCCTGGGAACCCCTCTCAGTCTCATTCCCACGGCAGGGTGTGGCTTGCAGGCCACATTCAGTGGTCCCTGATACTTCCTCAAGTGTCTTCCGCCCCTGGGGAAGTCCCTCTGCCTCCCAATGGGGCTGAGCCATGTCCTCCAGGGAAGGGACTGGGGACAGCCCCAGGCCCTTTGGCCCCATTAGGGGCAGATGTAAGGAGGTCCTGAGAAGCAAAAAGGAAGCTCAGTGAATTCCCCACTCCATGGTGCAGAAGGGCCACCTTGCAACTGTCCAGTCCTGCCCATAGGTTGAAGTGTAGTCTTTCTGGCTTTGAGGCTCTCTTAGTGACAACACTTTGGGAAGAATCTGGCCCAGATTCCTCATCTTACAGATGGCGAAACTGAGGCTCAGGTAGGAGAAGTGGCCTGCTTAATGGCAGACTGATGTACAAGGTGAAGTAAGGAGCCAGCCTTGGGGTCTCCTGGTGGAGACTCTGAGCAGGCAGGTAAGTGGGAGCCTCAAGTCCTCCTTTGAGGTCGTGGAATGCTTGACCCTCAAGGACAGAAAGGTCATTTAATTCATCCTCCTACCTCTAGGTCTGGCTCCTGGTTTTCACCCTGTGTTGTCCAAGAAATACCCTACTGCAAAGCTTCCTGTTAAAAACCGTTCCCATTTCAGGTCCTCTCCTGTCTAGCTGTGACTGCAGCTGCCCTGGGGAAGGGGAAGAACAGTTACTTGTCTTCCTTCAAAGTCTGGAACTTAGGAAATACATTATCAAGCCTGAGATCTATTCTTTTTAATAACAACTTTATCGCATACCATGCATACAACTCACTCATTTTAAGTATCAAATTCAGTGGCCTTGGGGCACAGCCATCACTAGTCAACTCAAGAGTATTTTGTCAGAATATTTTCATCACCCCAAAAGAAACCCGTACTCATCTGTAGTCTCCTTCCATTTTCCCCCAGCCATGGGATCTGGTCTCAACAATTGAGGTTTTTAATGGTATTTATTTAGTGATTTATTGATTGACTCATTGATTGATTGATTTGGTGTTGAGACTGAACCCAGGCCTCACACATGCTAACTCTGACAGTAACTCTGTCACTGAGCTACATCTCCACCCCTTTAATAGCATTTATAATATTTTTTAGATAACATTGGCGACTGATGAAAAATTTCAACAGCTTTTTAATTAGTGGAATGGGTTTTGGGGGTTTTTTTTTGTCGTTGTTTTGGTTTTTTGTTTTTGTCTGACCCTTATTTTGCTCACAAAGGAGACTCACAGTCAAGGAGAGACCAGGGTCAAAGCCACAGTCAGTTTGTTTCCGCCCTTTCCAGCTCCAGACCCAGGAGCACCAAGCAGTTCTAGGTGTGTTCACCTGTGCCTGGTCCAGAGGAGAAAGCAGAGAGAATTGCTCTGGGGATGCAAGCAAGCAAGGCACACTGTACCCTTGGCAGCCTCAGGGTGCTCAGAGGCCTGAGAGAGAACAGATTTTCAGATTCCTTGAGAGTTGATCTGAGGTCCTGGCTGACCATGGCCTTGTTTGCAGGAAGACAGGGCCTTCTCCCTACGAGAGCCCTAGAGGCTGATCAGGAAGCCACTCTTATGAGAGTCTCTTGCTTGAGAGATAACCTTTTGATGCCTAGGACTGTGGCAGAGGTGGTCCAGAGTGCCCTTGGGGTCCGTACTGCAGCTGGGCTGGCATTCCAACTTCTCTGGGCTTCACTGTTAGGCAGAAAGAAGCCTATACGGCCTTGGGGTTTCTCCCATTCTGACACACTGGTCCGTATGGCCCAGATGCTACACTGTCAGGCTGTGGACCTGCTCTCTACCTGTAATGCATGGCTCTGTGTCAGTGGTTTTTATGTCTTAATGTACAGCACAGCCAGTGGCTGGGTGTGGGCTGTCCAGACTCAGATCCCAGCCTCTGACCTGGCATGTTAGGTTCCTTCTCTGTGCTTCGGTGTCCTCTGCTATAAATTAAAGGCAAGAATGGTACCTGAGAGCAGGTGGGTGGCATACAAGGATCCCCCTCCCAAACCCTATCCCAGGTCCTGTGTTGGGAAGTGTGCTGGCTCCTACTTGTTCACTGAAGGCATTGTTTGTCTGAATGGAACAGAGTGATCCCATAAGGACACCAGAGATGGCTTCAGTGCAAATCCAAGCTCTGTCTCCTCTAACAGGGCCACCCTGGGCAAGTTATTCAGACTTTGTCAGTTTTCTCTTCTATAAAATGAGGATGAGAATGACAATGGTATCTCTGATTATTGTGTCATTCATGATACCCATTGTGGGGATTAAATGAGTCAGAACTGGTGAAGGGCTTACAAAGCCCTTCAAAATGGCGAGGGTACTTGCAGGTGCAGAGATGCTTACAAAGCCACCCAAGCCCATGGCAGTTAGATCTAACCTTCACACTTGTTGCTCATCTATTCCAATCCAAGTAAATCAATGGTTACCTTGTGTACGTCATTAGAACCATCCCGAGCTGTGCTGAAGTTCTCTCTCTCTCTCCTGGTCTCCCCAGCCGAGCCCCTGCCACTCATGGATCTCTGCCGGCGTTCGGTGCGCCTGGCCCTGGGGAAGGAGCGCCTGGGTGCCATCCCCGCGCTGCCACTGCCTGCCTCCCTCAAGGCCTACCTCCTCTACCAGTGATGCCTGCCCTGGGACCGCCACACGACAGCCACCTGGTGCCAACTCACTGAGCCGCCGGGGCTGCTGCTCCCTGCGCCTGGGATGGACACCTGCCCACGGCCATGGGCAGAAGCACCTGCTCTTTCTCCCAGCTGCTTCTGCCCCAAGACAGATGCCCGGAGGGTGCCTTTCCTCCCACTGGCTGGAACAGCATCCCAGCATGCTGAAACAGCCCCTCCTTGAACCAGACGTAGAGAATAAACTCCTACGAAAGCCTGCCTGGGCGCCTGTCTGCTCTTGGATGTGGTGGGCTGCAGCTGCCTCGGGGTCCCAGATGGTGGGGTCTGTGGGAGGTGCCAGGCTCGAGGGCAGATACTAGGAGTGGGAGAGGCTGGGACTAGGCCACATGGGTGAAGCTCAGGATGTCATGACCCACGAACACCGAGGCAGAACCCCAAGTTGGACCTCCTTTGGGCTAGTAAGTACTCAGCCTTGATCCCAGCTATTGGTGCCCCATACCCTATATTTATTCTTTTACCAATAACAAAGGTCATTTATTTATTCCATTTAGAGAGGAAACCTTGTTTGGTCAGCTCTGATGTGTTCTGTTGCTTTTCTCCCACCTGCTGCCTCCCGGAGACATGCATGCCACACCTTCTCCCAGGGTCCTGCCTGTGACACGTGAGCCCATATGCATGGGTACAAGGGTATCTTTGTATATGTCCCTTGACCTGGTTTCCAGGGGGCTCTGCACTGAGTTCCCCAGCAGGCCCCTCAGGGAGAATTAGCATTACGTGCAATGAGTGTCAGGGGCCTGTTGGAGGGGGGCAGGTCCCCATGTCCCCAGGTAGCCACTTACCTCCAGAATTCATACATCGTCGCACATGTTTGAATTTCTTTTGTCTTCTATAGGTTTTTTGGTGTGGGTTTGATTTTGTATCTGCTTATCTGGCTGAGATTTTTCCAAGGGTATCCTCAGAAACTGTATCCAGAGGATAACCAGGGCAAAAAAGCGGGGTGGGTAGCAAATGGGTCTTCATCCCTTAAGAAGCCAGGGGCAGGGCAGGACAGGGGAGACCAGAAACTGAGTCAAGTGTCATGGAAGCTTGGGACCCACACTGAGTAGCCCAAGTTCATCACGACATGCTCAGAGCCTCAGAAGGGCCGGGTGGGGCAGCCAGCAGAAGGCCGTCCACCCCAGCAACTCTTCCATGTAGCATCTCTGCACCTGCAAGTACCCTCGCCATTTCTTGTATCCTAAAATCAACTCCCGTAGAGTCTGAGTTCTGTTCATTTCCACACAGGTACAATAGATGACTTTATTTGTTTAAAGTGTTTAATATATATACATATATATATATATATTTGTCCATAAGAATTATGTTTTAAGCAGCTGCTGTAGGGTACCTTAAAAAAAAATCTTCCAGTGGAGTATATTTTTTTGAAGCACAAAATTGGTGCCAAGACTGGGTGAGGAATGTAAATTATCCCCTTAATATTTTGAGGGTTTTTTTTTTTTCCTGTTGGAGCAGGGAACCTTACCTGTCAAACTCTTGAAAATTTCTCTCACTTCTGTTTCAGGGTGGGTTGTGTTCTCATGAATGTTACACAAGAGAGAGGTCCACTAGTACAGATCCAAGCTTGTTGCCTTGACCCAGCTGTCCCCTGTGGATGCTGGGGAATCTCGGGGCTCTCTCTGCATCCCCACCCCCCAACTCCCTGGAACCCTCAACTCCACCCTCCTTTCCTATCAGCCCAGAGCCCTGTGGCATGTACAGTTTTGAAACTACTTCTGTTTTACGACGGCTCATAATAGTAACCTAATAAAGAAAAGTTTGGTAAAACATGAATCCACTTTGAGTCCTTCCTTTGTGCCTTGGGGGAGGAGAAAGAGGCATGGCCAAGCCCTCTCCGGTCCAGCCAGTAGCACTGCCTAAGATTTTCTCTACCACCCTTTGACTTGGTCAAGTGTAGAATGTCAGCTGGAGTCTCAGATGGAAGAGGAGCATCCTGGGTAACATTTGAGGATGCCTGCCCCTTTTGGAAGATTATTATTCCAGCAGCCCAATGAAGAAAGCTCTCTGAGGCTAACAGAATGTGATTTTGCACAACGATGGGCACCTTGGTTTGTCTGCCTCATTAACAAGCTCATATTTGCCACAGGTTTGTTAGGAGCCGAACAGCAGTATGGCAGCCATGGCGTCCAGACTCAGCACTCAGCAGGAGCAGATCCTCCTTCATCTTTGCGTCTCCAATGTCAAGTGTGCAGTGCTGCTTTCAGAGTTTTGCCCAGTGAACCTGGCCTGCTAGCTGCTGTGGGTACAGCCCCCAGTACGAAGGACAGGAAATTCTGGCTTAGAGGATGGATGAGTGAAACCATGAACAGTCAATCTGCTGTGATCATACCTCATGACTAGTTTCCAAAGCCTCAGCAAGCATGTGTGCAGCTAGCTGTGGGGGTTTCTCATCCTCCAGGCATGTCAGGATCTAGGAGTGTGTGAGAAGTGCCTGGTCTAAGAGCTCAGGTTCCTTTCTCTGAAAACCTCCTAACCAGCCTTCCTCAGACTCCTTGTTAAGATGTAGATCCTGGGGCCCCACCTGAGATGCACAGGGACTCACCATTCTGGGACCAGGCCCAGGGATCTGCACTTTCTCCCAAGGTCCCCAGGTGACCTTGCCTATGAAAGTTGGACGCCATTGTTTGACTGTGTCAGCTCTTTGTCTTGCAGGGTTGCTGAGTAGAGTGTGGCTTATTTCAATGTGGCTGGTGGCTTGGCCCAGGGAAGAGCACATGGACTCTGAGTCAGACCTGGGTTCAAATACTAGCTTTGTGGCCTTGGATGAGCCTCTGTAATATGGCAGTAATGGATATGCCTGTGTCAGAGGCAGGTAACAAGGTGGGGTGGGGTTTAGGGGGTTGGGACATGAGGCTTCCAGACTGGGGCCTGGCTTCTCAGCAAGTGTACCAGCAAGTGCTTTAAAAACTCATGCATTTCTGGAAGATGGCAATTCCTGAACTGGGTCTTAGACTTTGAGGATGAACCAAATATTCCTGAATGAACTTCCTGGTGAATCTTCTTTCTTCCCAGGTAGTCTCCAAAGATGGGGTTGGATATTGAAGAAAGGAGCCCCTGATGCCTGCCTCGGACACAGGCGCAGGAAAGGGTGGTCTCGAACTATTTTTAGGTTGGAGTTCATGTCTGGGTTGCAGTTGGAACTCAGGCTCCTTTGAAGGGGTGGCAGGGGAGGAGTGGGGTCAGGCATGGGGGATGGGGGAAGCTCAGGAAAACTGAGGGCCTTTGTGCTGGCAGAGACTTCTGGGGGAACACGGTTTTGTGCTGAAGAGAGCAGTATTAATAAAACCATCTGTGCAGACTTGGCCCATGTGGTTGTAATTAATCCCCTGCCTTCAAGCAGGTAGCAGACTCGCGGGCTTGGCCATAGATGGGAAGAGTCCTCGGTCTCCATCCTCTGAAGCAGTCTCCCTCCTGCTCCTCGGCGGGATGAGGAATGTGGACTTTACTGAACCATAAACTATGCTGGGGGAGCTGGGGAGGGGGCTGAAGACAGAGTAATTAGTTCATGCCCCAGTCCAGACACCCAAACATGGTTGGATTCCAGCTGCAAGGAATATTTGAAATAAATGGGCTGCCCAGGGCCAGGAGTTTGCTGTGTTTTCTGTACGGCCATGGCAACCGGGGGGAAATCATGAGCTCGGATTGGGCTCGAGGATCAACAAATGATGTCCTGGCTGAGTGAGCCAGAGGAAGCTGCTCACAGCTCTCCTAGGGTTTCTCAGGACTCAGCGTGCCCATTCTCCTGGTGCTCAGATTTTGGGGTCCTCTTCTGGATTCAGATTTTTTTCCATTTTTATTAGCATATGTTCATTGTACAGGGGGGATTCATTGTGACAATTCCAAATAGACTTAACATTGTATATTGGTTAGATCACCCCCACCAGCTCCCCCACCCTGAGAACTCCTCCCCACCCCACTTGAAGCAATTGCAAGAGGTTTCATCGTTCTATTTCACATATGTATATGAAGCCCATCAACCATATTCCCTCACCTTCATCTCCTTCATTCACCCTTTCCACTCTGGACTCAGATTTTTTATTATTTTTTGTAAGAAAAGAAAGAGAAGAGTTCCCAGGCCAGAGAAATTGCTGCTACTGTCACTACTAGTCTGACCATGACATTCTGGGCAGAGGGAATGCTCACTGGAATGCTCACTGTGAAAAAGTCCAGGACAAAGGCGGCCTGCTGGATAAAAGCTAGCTCTGACCTCTGACTAGCCCTGGGTTGTCCCACCTGGGTCCAGCTGCAGCCCTTCTGGGTCTACTTTGTAGCAGAAAAGGCCTCCTCAGACCTCTTTCTTCCCCCGATGGTGATGGTGGGCCTGCAGCTGTCCCTAAGAAGGTGGCCTAGGTGATGATTCGCCCTGTAGTTCACTGATTCCTCCCACATCTGAATCACCACAGGAACTGGAGAAAAAGCAAAATCATAGGAAGCTTGATGGGCCATGGGTGGGTCTTAGAGTCTTCATCTTTCCGTTGCCCTGGGGCTCCCTGAGGTCCTGGAATTTTGTGCAGAGTGCACCCATGAGACCCCTCTGCCATACTCTCATGTTTCTTTAGAGACCTGCAGGGGGCTGGGACTCTAAGAAGCTTGGTGATCACTGGTACAGAAGATGCCCAGGAAGGTCACTGTGGCCCAGCCTCAGTGAGCTGTACCTGCTTGGGATCTCAGCACCAGCCAGAGCCCCCAGGAGCTGACACAAATGTCCGTGTGTCACTGTGCACAAAAGGGCTGGCCTTAGGAATGAACAAAGAGGGTCCACAAGGAAGCACAGGCTGGGAAACCTCAGCCTGGGGCACTTCCCCTGAGTCTGTTTCCCCAAAGAAATCAGTACCTGGAGAACCAGAAGCTTGGCAACTTCATCAGTTCACCAAGCCACTGCCCCCACCAAACCCTCCTAGCAGGACTTTCCACTCAGAACCTGCCCTTTTGTTTATAATGAAGGTGAAACCCATATAACATCAAATTCATCTTTTTTCTTTTTTCTTTTTTTCTTTTTTTTTTGCAGTACTGGGGCTTGAACTCAGAGCCTACACCTTGAGTCATTCCACCAGCCCTTTTTTTGTGATGGGTTTTTTTTTCAAAATAGGGTCTTGCAGACTATTTGCCAGGGCTGACTTTGAACTATTATCCTTCTGATCTCTGCCTCCTGAGTAACTAGGATTACAGGTGTGAGCCACCAGCACCCAGCTCCAGCTGAAGTGTGCACTTCAAGGGCCAGGCACAGTGACTCACAGTTGTAATCCCAGCTACTCAGAAGACTGAGGAGGAGAATCTCGGTCCAGCCCTGAGCAAAAAAAAAAAAAAAAACAAAAACATGAAATCCTATCCAAAAAAATAAGTAAAACCAAAAGGGCTGGGGACATGGCTCAAGTGGTAGAATTACTGCCTAATAAGCATCAGGCCCTGAGTTCAAGCCCCAGTTCAAATTAAGAAAATCAATTAAGAATAAAGTGTACCCTTCAGCAGCATTTAATACATGCTCTATGTGGTACAGTCATACCTCCATCCAGTTCTAAAACATTCTCCTCACCCCCCCAAAGGGACCCCCTTACCCAGTGACCCTACTTCCCTTAGCCTGCAGCCCTCGGCAGCCACAATTCTCTTTCTGCTTCATTGAATTTGTCTGTTCTGAACACTGTAGATCAATGGAACTACACACTGTGTGGCCTCTTGTGTCTGGCTTCTCCTGGTTTCAAATGGACTTTTAAGGGGATATTCCCTGACACCCTCCCCTCTCTTCCTTTCCCTGCTTGTCAGATGGGGAGAACATTTCCTCCTATTGGGATTGCTTGGGGATTAGTGAGTCAGTCTCTTCAGTGTGCTTAGAACACCGTCTGGCTCTAGATCAGTAAGAGCAGCTGGGATGATTCCCCACCCATCCCCTGAGCGCCCAGAGTCCCTCGTGTGTGTCGTGAGTTTACCAAAGCCAGCCCTTTCCTAGGAGGGCATCTTGCAGGGTAATTGCGAGAGCCTGGAAGCCTCTGTCCTTCTGGACAGAAATGAGGTCCAGTTTGTACAATCAGTCTTGGCAACCATGGATAGCAGTGGGCAGGGCAGGTAGATGCACTGTGGCCTTGTTCAACCTCTCTCATCCTTAATTTCGTTTCCTGAGGCTGCGGTGACAAAGCGCTCAACCCATTGGGTGGCACCAAACAACACAGTTACTCTTTCACAGCTGTAGAGGCCAAACTCCAGCACAAAGGTCTGGAGTCTCTAGGGATGGAGTCTTCTTGGCCTCTTCCAGCTCCTGGTGGCCCCACGTGTTGGTGGCTTCTGCCTCTGTCTTCATAGAGTTCTCTTCACTGTTCTCTGGGTCTGCACTCTAAGGACATTTGTCATTAGATTTAGGGTA